CCACATCGCAGCAGTACACCAGCGGTACCGAACTAGCAAACCCACTCACCGTCCAACCAAGTACATGTGCTAGCGCACGAAGTTGAGCCATTGAAGTTTTTTTTAAAAAAAAAACAGAACAAGCAACAATAAAAGGAAAGAAGACGACGATCGGCGAACAGCAGCAGCAGCAGAAATTTGTACATCTCATGAACTTCTCTGTTTACAACGCTAGTGATGTCCCTTACAAGTTACACGCAGGCATTCAAGTTAGCCACAGACGCACGCCTCGTTCAGATCGAGCAACGAGCTTGTTTGAACTGCTTGCTGGATCGGTCGATCCAACAGCAACAAACGCTTCCGACGGCCCATGGATGATCGCTGTTTCTACCTGGGCTTGGACGGCGCGATCTGGATGACGAGGCCGGGGAAGACGTCGTCGGGGTCGTGCACGTGCGGGTTCCGCTCCAGGATGAAGGGGTCGCCGCACTTGTCGCTGATGCTGTGCAGCGTCTCGCCCTCCGCCACCACGTAGATCTCCTCGCACGGTCGCGCCGACAGCGCCGCGCCCCGCACCACCACCACGCCGCCCTCACCGGCGCCGCCACCGCCGGTTCCCAGCGTGCACACCACCATCAGCATCGCTACCAGCGACAGCGCCACGCACCACGACGTCGTGTCGGCCGCTGCCGACACCCACCCCATCAGCTGCCGCCTCGCCATGGCAGGATCACAGAATCCGCTCGAGCTTTGCCCTGGCCTTGCTACGGATACTACGATGGCTCACAGTGCCGTTGCCGGTAGCGAGAGGTGGAGTTGTTTTTCTCTTGGGCAGTTGGTGGATGGGATGCTTTATATAGAACCAGAGGACAGAGGTCAGGAGAGAGAGCAGAGTGGTGGGGCATGGCCGCCACGTGGTGGGATGCAGCTTTGGGCAAGTATCCGTTGGAAGATAAGCTCAGCGGCAGGCGGGCAGCGCTCTCGGTGTCGGGGGTGTCAGAGTGGCAAGTGATGTCGCAGGGATTGCCGGATTGGCATGTGCAAAAATAGCAAGATGCATGCTTCGTTTCCTGGAGTACGTACTATACCAGAAAAGAAAATGAGCCACATTTATCATGCATGCTTCTTTAGATAATGAGCCACATTAATCTATGCATCGTTTCCTTGAAATTTATCATCCTTTTTCTTTTTTCTGGTATACGTACTGTTAGCTCGGTAGATAGATTAATGTGGCTCATTATCTAAAGAAGATAAATGTGGCTTGCAATACGTTTTTATAGAAAAAGTGGCTTAAATTGGTATCATGCTGCAACAGGGACACATAAAGAAAAAAGCTGATAAATTTCAAATCAAAGGCTAAAAATTGACTAGTTTTAAGCATGTTTATATTGAACACAGCAACCGAGGTGATGATTAGTAGCCCTGGGCAAAATTAACCGAGAATCGAACCGAAATAACCGGAACCAAAACCGAAAAATTCGGTTGAGAAACCGAAATAACCGAAGAAAATTCGGTTCCTACTATCAGGTAACCGAATTAACCGAAAGAATCGAATTACATGAATTATACTTCACTTACTTGTATTTTGTAAGATTATGTTTAGTTTATGTGTGGTGTTTTATATTTGACCTGCTATATATTTGTGTTACTATATTGCTATTGTTTTTTTATAAATTATTATTATTAAATATTAATATAGTGTTGCATAAATTTGCCTTACAACACGTATATTTATTGTTTGTCTTGAGGTCTTCTCAAAAAGTTCGGTTAATTCGGTTAGAACCGGAATCGAACCGAAATAATCAAAAACCGAAATGGTCGGTTCCGATAATTTTTGAAAACCGAACGGTTCCTATTTTCTAAGAACCGAATTTCTTCAAAAACCGAGAAACCGAACCAAAACCAAACCGAGAACCGAATGCCCAGGCTTAATAATTAGTACTTGTAGCTTGATGAGTGTGATGATAACTAGAGCTATTTTCCTATGTATCCGGCTCAGATCTAATGGTGCAGCACCGGTCCTACCTCCGGCCCTTAGGCGCACGCTTAGCCTGCAGGTACTTTTTTTTTTGCGCTGTTTTAAAAAGGGAACGAGGATGCTGTAGGATTAGTGAGCAACAAACTCCACCGTTTAAAAAATTAGAACAAAGAAAAATAGAGAAATCCTAGAGGATTAGAATCATATATTAGAAAAGTTCCTATAAAATCATTTGAATCAAATGACCGGGTTCCTAAAAACTTCTTTCAAATTCCTATGAAATCGTTACCAAAGCTATGGCTTTTACTACACTCATGGCTTCACCTGTCGTAGACCCATTTCTCTACCAAACCACATGTCTAAGGTGCGTGCGGCGAACAAATTGTTGGCCACACATTTGACAAAGCTTAGCTATACGATTACGGATTATGTGGATGCAAATGCAAACTTCTATGGCGGCAATCCAGGGTCTAAGCCATTCGACATGCCAGATTTCTATCAAGAATGGACAGGGGTGTCTACACAACAACTACATGGATCAACAAATGTGCATTTAAAATAAATTCCAACGCAAACTCGATTTTTTGACCCTGTCATCCAGACACACCCTGGTGGGTTTCTCTGAGCTCGTCAAAACTTTCATGTGCCCAGTACGATGAGCTAGTGGCTGGCCGCCCAGTGGTGGTGGGGGAAGAAAAACCTGCCACGTACGATGAGCTAGTGGCTGGCCGGGCGCCTGAGATGGGGCGCACGCACAGACGCAGCAGTGGAACCAATCAATCACACACCAAGTGGCGTCCCGGTGTCCACGAGAAAGGCGCTTTCGGTGCCCATCGCTCACTCGGAGTCAGGCGGCGGCTTCGGCAGCGCGGTACAGCCAATGAGCCATGTCTCGAGTGCGGTGCCGCACTGCCACCCGCACGCACCGCCCCAGCAGCGCCGGAACCGACGTCAAACGACCGCCACAACCGGCGGGAACGAAGAGACGGGCCGACTCCTCCAGTCCTCCACCTCCTCTGGACCACACACGCACAGATAGCCCGCTGTTTCCGCCCGAGAATACGCGTATGCTCGCTGCCGTCTAGACGCAAAAGGCGCGAGGAAATTCGCGGTGCCGCAGGCACTCCCCTTGCATCGCGCAGGAAGGGAGTCCGCGAGCCCGCGAGTGCTCGTGGTGGAATCCTTGGAATCTCACGCCGCGCCGCACGCTTCGGCTTTGGAGAACCGTCGCTCGCTTGAGTTATAAGTTGTATTTTTCCAGTTAACGAACAGTATTTTTTTCTCACAATAAATCAGCCAACAGTATTTTCAGCCCATGACTACATAATTTCCCGTGAAATTAGCGAGTGTGCAAGTCCAACACCAGGGGTACAGCGACGGGTTTGGCCAGGCGCACAGAATGAAAATAATGCCCTAGTTCTGCTGCTCCCCCCTAGTGCTCCTGCCTGCACTGCATGATGTTTCCTCTCACTGCCTCAGACCACAGATCCACTTGTTTTTTTTTTTTGTTGTTGTTGAGAAACACAGATCCACTTGCTGGGTTGGCACCACCAACGTGCCGCGCTTTTGCGCGGGCTGAAAGGAACAGAGCCATGGCCCAGCCGTGAGGCCCGTATGCTACTCGCGAATTTTTCTCAGCCCATGGTTAATTCAGAGGTTCTTGGCCCGCGAGCGTAGCGTAGCAACAGTTGGGCCAGAAAGAATGCATCCCGATTCTGAAGCCATTTGGGGTGTGTGTGTATGGAACGTGAGATTTTCTTTTCTATTCTTGATTTTTTTCCGTATAAAATTGACTCCATTCCTACGAAATTAGTGTATGATTCTTGTGCAGTTTCTACGTTCTATAATCGACCTTTATCGATAACACGATAACCACACATGCATGGACATAGATTGCCACCGGTCACATCACATGCTTCTGTTTTCTTTCTCCTTTTCTCTTCCTAGATATTTTATTTTTGATACATTGAGCACTTGTTTATATAATACTCCGAAAAGTGTTCCTCCGCAAAAAAAAAAAAAAGTGTTGAGCGAACAAAATCCTCCACCTAGTTAAAAGACCTAATTATTCTTTATTTCTTTTGAGCGACGGATAACGCAACGCCACTCAAACCGTGTCTCCACTCTCTTCCCCCGCTGAAAGATGAACACCAGCACTAATGTAATCAGCCACGTCTCTATCGCTCCCACAGCAACTGATTTCCTTCAGATGACGTTGTTTACGATTTGTTCAGGCCATCGATGTTGACATCTGGAACATCTATCCTAGTTTATTTATCTTTTCGAAACATGACCATAATCCAATCATCAGTGGCTACGGCTAAAGTAGTAAAGCTACGTCAACGCCTAACGTGCCAATCCGCGAACGAACCCTTTTTCCCAACCGGACGCAGGAACAGCGGACAGCGGGGCCCGCGGGTAAGATCAGCACCGCGCCGCACAGACCATGTAGTGCTGAAGTAGTGCTGAAGAACACGACGTAGAAAGCAAGCCTCAGACCCAAAGGTTAGTTGGCAACAATAACAACTCAATAAAACTCGACTCGTTTATTGAGTTGTTATTGTTGCGAACGAAGTATTTAGTTAAGGCTAAACACCGTAGCTGTTAATCCTCATAAACTCTACCCCAAGAGTCAAGAAATGAGTCGAGGATCAGGTGACTGCTGTCCCAACTCCCAAGTTGCCACATACTACAAAGAAGCTATTCCACAAATATAGCTTGAAATTACTTAATAACAGAAAATCCTAGTTTAGAGCAAACTTAGTTCTGTCACTGCAATGTAGGCACTGTAAAAAAACAGTATCTGTTAAAGACAACACATCATAAAATGGAATAGAACGGGGAGCATTGTTTTCATGATGTAATTTAAAGTGCAGTTGCACAGGATAAACCCTCTTACTTCATGTCAAGGATCAGCTCAACGATCAGCACTGCAATATTTACATGGTGTCCAGTGGCCACACCGCTTGTTACCTACCTACAAAGACAATAGATTAGGCTACTAGCGTGTAAAACAATATTGAGATTGAGAGAGTGAGGGGGTTCACCTTCTATACAACACTTTGATATCATGGCGGATTGCTTTAGTATCCAATAGTTCGTCCCCAGAGTCATCAATATCAACTTGACCAAGCTTGAAGTCTTCCGTAGTACAGTGCTCACTCCCTTCAAACCACAATTTCGGTATGACTTCTTTCTTGAATGCGGTCTCATGGACCTTTTCCTCCTCAGAATCGACAGCTACAAGCCTGTATACAAACACTTTCTTCTGCTGTCCGGGCCTGAATGCACGCCCAATTGCCTGACGGGTGACAGATGGGTTCAGATGAACATCTAGAATGACAACTCTCGATGCGCCCACCAGGAGATGCCCTCTCCACATGCCTTGATAGAACCAGAACTTTTGCATCAGCAGAGCTGTTAAATTGTTCCACTGCCAACTCTCTGTCTTCTTGATTAGTATCACCAGAGATCGCAAAAATTTCTTTCCCCATAAGCCAGCCCTTCTTCTTAACCAGCAGCCGTTCAAAAAAATTCATGGGAAGTATATACTGACTAAAAGCAAGTACTTTCTCTCCTGCAGAATTAGCAAGTGACAGGATATTCATGAAAGAACTGGCCTTCGCACCGTCTCTCACAGTTATAGAATCCAGCAAACTATCAATTAAATCATCTCTCAAGGTGTTAGCCCTGTTCTCAGCATTAACCTCTGAAAACTCTGAAAGACAAGGATGAATGTACAGTGCACTCCCTACTGCACTTCTTTTGAACCTAACATGTGTATCCAACTTGTGAAAAATGTCTTTCTGCTTGGGAGTGAGTTTCAAGAACACGCTGAAGTCTACTAAGCCAGGTAGTTCATCTAAGATATCACCCTTATAGTAGTGAAGCACGTCCTTTGTTAGTTCTCTAAGACCTCTAATAACATGGGCCTTTCTCCTGAAGTTTTCATCATTTAACAAGGTTCAACTGCCTCAGTGAACGCGCCATCACCAAACCCTTTTGAACTTCTACCTAATATTGCAACTTGACTCATTATACGTCTGGCAATAGGAAGGGATGATTCCATCCTGAGAAACTTTGGGTGAACAAGATTCAATATATTAAACACTTCCTCGACATGATTCTGGAAAAGTGTACCCGAAAGAACCACTTTGCGTGGTGTTTCCACTCTATTTAGCGATTCTAGTACATCAGTCTCCCGGTTTCTAGGTGTATGACCCTCATCAAGTATAAGAAGGTTGGGAACCTTAAGCAGCCTGTCCCGACATGCAGCTGTGACGTTGCTGCCCCCATCATCAGTGATGATTGTGGAGAACTGCTTGTATCCAAGAAACAGTATACCCATCTTGTCTTCCCAATATTTGACGATTTGCAACTGTTCTGCTCTTTTGCCAGCCTTAACAGAGTAGAAATCGTGCAATGGTATATCCTGCACTTGCCATCGTTGAATTTCTTTCTTCCATGTACCTAAGATCCCTTTGGGCCTTGCAGATGGATACCTCCCCAAGAATCTTTGAATGAAGCTTATAAGCATAAATGTTTTCCCTGAACCTGGGGCATGAGCAAGAATGCAACCTCCAGGCTTGTCTCCAATCAAATTCTTAACCAAAAAGTTGAAACCTTCCAACTGATGCGGTCTCATTGTCTGAGCATGTCTGGGATGAATAGTGTCGGATACCGTGAGAAGGGGTACCCCAAGCAAAATCCAAAAAACGACTGCTTAGATTTCGTAAAGACCGAAACCAGCTAAACGCTGCTGGCCTCGGCCGATTCTCCGACTCGCCCGAGGCCCCATCACCGCGGGCCTCGGCCGATTCTCCGACTCGCCCGAGGCCTCGTCACCGCGGGCCTCGGCCGATTCTCCGACTCGCCCGAGGCCTCATCACCGCGGACCTCAGCCGATTCTCCGATTCGCCCGAGGCCCCCTCACCGCGGGCCTCGGTCGATTCCCCCGCCAGAGGCCTCGGCCGAGGCCACCGACCCTCCGCTCTCGCGCAAAGGCGGGCTCGGCAAGACGCCGCTACCTCTTCCTTCTCCCGTCCCTTCCGCAAAACGTCAGGGTCGCGTCAACTCTCCAATAGCTGCTGCCCGACAACAGCCCGCATGCCCGGCGCGATGCAATGAGAATGGCCGATGGGGACAGAGACAGACTCGCATGGGTTACCCGCCATTGTACTAACCCCGTGCACGTGGTTGACGCCCATGCCTCACTTTGTGGCCGCCAACTCCCCGCTCCAAGGACAACGCAAAGCATGGGGAGCCACGTCTGAGCCATCTGTGGCCTCGGAATCGTACCTGTGGAGCAATAATTCCCTCCAAGGCCTCGGCAGCTTCGCTCCGAGGGCTCGGCGGCCCGAGGACCCATGTCCGCCAAAGCCCCCCGCGATGGCTTGGCCTCGGCACCTCAGAGCCACGTACCCCACGACGTCGTCACGCGATGGTTCAAGACGTCCCCGATTTGGCGGGGGTTACCCGTCACTATGCTATCCACCGTACACATAGTTGACACCCATGCCTCATCAGTCACGCCAACTCCCGCTCCAAGGACAACGCAGCATGGGGAGCCACGTCCCGGGCTCATCGTGGCCTCGGAATCGCATCAGGCCAATAACTCCCCCAAGGCCTCGACAGATTTGTTTCACGGGCTCGGCAAACCGAGGGTCCATGACCACCGAGTTCCCCCCCACGATGGCTCGGCCTCGGCATCTGCAGAGCCGCTGCTCCCCACGACGTCATTACACGGGCGACCCCCGACGTCGCCCGCCATGTCCTCCATCATTTGGAGCCCCACGACGCCAAGAAGACCGAAGTCTCGACCAAAGATGTCACTTCCGCACGACAAGGACGGGGCCACTCCATCGACCATACCACAACAATGGCGACTACTGTGGCTCGGACACGCCACCCATTTTACTGAAGCGCTATGTAGCACCACATGCACGATCCCGGTCCTCCCTTAGAGTATAAAAGGGAGGGACTGGGGCCATTTCTAGGGGAAAAAAAACGAACAGGCCGATAGCACCGCGCGCTCATATGCTGCTTGGGAACAACGCCTCAAGCAGCCCGCACCACACTGGCCGAGACCTGGGGCTAGTTCCCTCTCTCACCTAGCTTGTAACCCCTACTACGAGCACTCCGGTGCAAGGAATACAAGATCGATCTCTCGGATCGGACGTAGGGCCTCGATTGCTCGAACCAAGATAAACCTTGTGTCTCTTTGCGCCACCATCCGGGATTAGGGGCACGCAAAGACAAATTCACTCGTTGGTTGAGGGACCCCGGTTCCAAAACACCGGGCGGTTAGCGCGCTGTAGGGGGCGCTGCGTGTCAGCTTCGTCATCCTAGCAAGTTCCGGATGGCAGACTACATACGACCATTGCGTCTCGGCACCATAGTTTGGTTGGGGAGCCTAGAGTTCATGTCTCTAGGGCATGAGTACGACATGGTGCTCCTCACCCCTCGAACCCCACCGTCCAACGACGGAGTCGCGCCCCGGCAGCCAGCGCAGTAGCGGCGCCCGGGCGTCGCTCTCGCCGCTTCGCCGCCAGCGCGACGCGAGCAAGGTTACCCTGACGCTTACGCGAGCCCAGGCGACACGCCTCTCCCCGCCGATGTCCTACGACCATTTGCAGTACGGGTCCCTGGCTGGGACCTGTCGCCCGAGCTCGAAGCGAAAGAAAGCCGCCGGTGGCTTACGGCGATGCTCGGTCGTCTAACCCGCTCCGCCACTCCTCGAAGAGCCGACCCGTGGCGGAATATGGAGAAGGCACCGTCCCCATACCCCTTTGGGTTGAGAAATGCCGCCGCCTCTTACGCTTACGCTTACGCCTGCCGCCGCCACGAGCACCCCCTCTAACGCCGCCCTTGTTTCGCTCTCGACTTGAGCACCGCTCCGACTCCTCGGACGAGGGCGAGGCATGGCCCAGGTGGATTTCTCCGAACTTCACAACCTCGGGATTTGCGCCAATTCTTGGCCGCAGCGACTCATCGCCTCGGCCACTACTCCGACTCCGACGATGGAGGGACTTACGATCCATCTCGTGAGTGCTTCCACGTCGGGCTCGGGATGCCAAGGGCGGGCGAAAGGAACGAGAGGACAGCAACCATTTCCGCCCCGGCGAGGGGCGGGCGACGCCACACCACCGCGTCTCGAGGCCCCGGCAGCACGGAACGAGAATCCCGCCCGCGTGGGGCGTCGACGCCCAGACCTGGAGCAGCTCCACGAGCTTCAAGCCAAGGTCGAACAAGATCGACTCTTCCGCAATGGCCGGGACACTCTCGAGCGGGGAGCGGCAAAAGGGCGCTGGTGAGGCGGAGGGGCCCGAGGAGGCCCGCGACGCCCACCACCGCATCAACGACAACGAGGGGATGAGCCGCCCCAATCTTTAACCGCGCTAGCCAGAATGTCGCAGCGGCCGCGATGCTAGTCCGAGCAATGCCCGAACCCTCCACCACCGAGGGGCGACGGGTCCGCGGAGAGCTCCGCGACCTCCTCGAGACCGCAGCAGCAGGCAAAGAGTCGAAAGTTCCGCCTCCGCCGCGCTGGAGGCACTTTGAGCAACCCACGGCACGACCTCGACAAGGCGAGTGCCTCGACCCGTCCGAAAGCCCATTTCGCGCGCCGGACGGTCAGCAGGGCCTCTCGGCGCAAGAACCGACTCGAGGACCAACACGAGGCATGTGGCGACCACGAAGTAAGCCGACAAGCGACGGCGGCGCCACGACGACGACGGAGCCGCCCGAGGCTACCACCCACACCGAGGCGGTCACACGACAGCCGGTGAGGACCGCATCCTTCCCCGAGTCGCCGGAGACCTCGGGTCTTCAAGAGGGCCATCCGCGTTGCTCCTTTCCCCGCCCGGTTCCGACAACCCGCCAACCTCATAATACAATGGCGAGACCAACCCGGAACTCGGCTCGCTGACACCGCTGGCTCGCCCGGCTAGGTGGCGCGGACAATGACCCGCTCATCATCCATAATCTCCTTTGCTCTTGTCGGACTCGGCGCGAGCCCTGGCTGGAGCATCTCCTCCCTCGCAAATCCACGACCGGGCGCGACTTGGTTAGGATCTTTGTCGGGAACTTCCGTGGCACATACGTGCGCTACGGGAATTCTGGGATCTTAAAGTGCCGCCAGAAGCGACGAGTCCCTCCGAGACTTCATCCGGCGCTTCTCCAAACAAAGGCACCGAGCTACCCGGCGTCGGCGACTTCGGAGATCGTCTGTGCTTTCCTCTCCGGCACCACTTGTCGGGACTTGGTCCGAGAGTTAGGACGCAACGTCCCGCGCTCTGCTGCCGCGCTCCTCGACATCGCCACCAGCTTCGCTTCAGGGGAAGAAGCTGTCGGAGCCATCTTCCCCAACACCGATTCCAAGGAAGCGGAGGAAGAGGCCCCGAGGCCTCGCCCCCACCTCCCCACGAGAAAAAGAAGAAAGGTCGCCCAGTGGAAGCGTGAAGTTCTCGAGGCCGTCCATGTCGCCGCTGACGGATCGCAGAATCCGCGGCCTTCGCTGCCTCTGGGCTATTTGACGACATGCTGAAGAAGCCCTGCCCTTACCATCAAGGTCCGGTGAAGCACGCCCTCGAGGAGTGCACCATGCTCCGTCGCTACTACGCCAGGCTCGGGCCTCCCGACAACGACGCCAAGCAGAAGGGCCCCGGCGGTCGGAACGAGGACAAGGACGACGGGTTCCCGAGGTACATAACGCTTTCATGATCTTTGGCGGACCCTCGGCATGCCTCACCACAGCGCCAATGAAAGAAGAACGCCGGAGGTTTTCTCGGTCAAGGTGGCCACCCCGGTACCTCGATTGGTCTCGGGAGGCAATCACCTTTGATCGGGATGATCACCCCGATTATGTTCCAAACCCCGGGCAGTACCCGCTTGTCGTCGACCCGATCGTCGGCAACACCCGACTTACCAAAGTACTCATGGACGGAGGCGCGGCCTCAACATCCTCTACGTCAACACTGGAGCTCCCCGGAGCTCGACCAATCACGGCCCGAGGCGGTTCCGCGCGCCTTCCACGGCATCGTGTCAGAAAGCGACGCGACCCCTCGGGCGATCGACTTGCCCATCCGCTTTGGCACTCCTCCAACTACCGCAAAGAGGTCCTCACCTTCGAGGTGGTTGACTTCAAGGGGCTTACCACGCCATCTTGGGGCGCCTGTATACGCCAAGTTCATGGCGATCCCCAATTACACCTACCTCAAGCTCAAGATGCCAGCCCCAACGGCATCATCATCACCGTCGAGTCTACGACGAACATGCATACTGATCGCGACGCCGAGTGCATCGAGTCTGCCGAGGCCATCGCGGAGGCCGAGGCCCTCATCGCCGATCTCGACCAACTTGCTAACGAGGTTCCCGACGCCTAAGCGGCGCGGTCGGGACCTTCGAGCCCGCTGGAGGACGTCAAGCTCGTCCCGTCGATCCCACCGTCCCCCGACGGCCGAGGATCAAGGTCGGCGCCACCCTCGACAAAAATAGGAGGCCGTGTTTCGTCGACTTTCTCCGTGCGAACGTCGACATGTTCGCATGGAGCCCCTCGGACATGCCAGGCATACCAAGGGAGGTCGCCGAGCACGCCTTAGATATCCGAGCGGGCTCCAGACCGGCAAGACAGCGCCTGCGCCGGTT